CCCCAAAGCCCCCCCCCCCAAAGTCCCCAACTGGGACTGGGACTCAAGTACCTCCTAAGCCAATGACTTCAAAACTGAGAGTCAAATTAACATCGAATCTTGTAAAAATATTATATCATAAGAAAAATGCATGTCTTTTAGGAACAAAGTACAGAGTGTCATTTAAAGCTAACAAACCCCAAACTCTGAGTTGAAGAAGGAAAAAAAGACCCTTGGAAGATAATCTCAATGACTGCCTTCAAATAAAAGTAAATACAGTTGGTAAATCAGGAATTGAGTAATGATCAGCTGTGTGCTAAAAACATGTCAGCCCTTTGCATACACAATACTAATTATCACTGTCGTGTGGAGGAATAATTTACCCACTTCGAGATGTGGAAAATACATCTACAAGAAAGAGAAATAATTTGCTCAATATTACACTTCTAATGGCATGCAAGAACACATAGAAAAGGTATTCTCTTAAACATGAAGCTGGGCCCCTTTGCCTCACCTACCTGGGGTCTGCCAGTTCCTCATAGGGCCTTTGCTATGGCCAACTGGGTGAGGATATGTTTGTTTTTATAGGTCATGCCTTCCTAGGGAAAACAATGATTAAAGACAAAAGAATCTCCTTCCATATAGGGATCAAAGCCACTCAAATTTCTATATACACTCTACTCTAGCTATCCCAAAGCGTCACTAGTTGGGGCTCATCAGGCATTCACAGTACTTGGCTGCTCCCATGTAGCAGAAGGAACACGGTTCTATTTGTAGAGCAAAATAGCAGATCACTCTTAGAATAGCTGATGACAGACTGATTCAGAATAATTCAGAATGTTTTGTAACACGCCCCCCTCATTAGCCGTGAAACATTTGGTGTCGACTTCAGAACACAGAAGAACTGTGTTTAGTATTCATAGATACCTGACAGACACCATTTAAGGAAGTAAGGCTCTGCTCTGTGTTGTCTTGCCAGGGTGCAACAGTCCATTGTGTCGTAGAAACTTGGTCCTGCGAGTGAGTCAGCCTAGGACAGCAGGAGTGTGTATGCAGCTTGTTTGCATCCAGTGAGATCCAGACACAGAGAGGAAGTAGAAGTGGATGATGTCATTCTCAAGACCTTCCCCCAAGAACTCACTTCTACCACCTAGACCACATGACCCAGATACTCCACACTCTCCCAAAACTGTACCAGCAAATGGGGACAAAAGTATCCAACAGAAGTCTTTTTCATATTCAAGTCGTAATAAAAAATGAACTGATTCTCTTCATATTCATATTTTAATAGTCAAGTGATAATAAAGAATGACCTGATCCTACAGAAACTGAACACTTTAGAGACAATGTCACAGGAAGGTGCACAGACTGCCAGCATCTCATCCATCCCCATGCTACCTTTTCTTTTATTTTTCTGTAAACTGGCTCCCTTGAAGAAAGACATGAAATTCACTGTTCATGGTGATGCCGACTCTGCAAAAGAAACACCGCCCCCATTTGTTGCAAGGATTTTTAATGCATCTCATTTAAAACAATAATAGCAAGAGGCTTAGAAATAGGTCTTTATGTGTCCGGTGTTGATAGATGCGCTGCAGCTGTTTAGTGAAATTGTCTTTTTCCACTTCTTCCTGATGGTTGTGTTTTACCCTCCCCTGCCAAGAAAATTTACTACATTTTTTTCATAAATTTCCTCATGTCAAACGAACTTTTCATTCTAAATTTCATGGCTCTGCCCCCCCCCTCTCGGTTAGGATACCACATAACAAAAATGTTTCTTTTATATTAATTTTTTTATTCAGACAAAGTAAGCAATTACTCCTCAGTATGCCATATAGGAGCCAAGAAAGAAGTGACACAGGTTTTATTTAAGCCATTTGTTCAGTGGTCCGAGTAGATTACAGACAGAGCTGTTGCCCTAGGAGCAGCTAATGGGCCAATCAGTTTATCATTAATATAGAATCTCTGTGTGATTTTCTTTGGGGCTAACTGGCTGTGGGAACTGGGCAGGACAGAAACCCCAACAAGCAGACCCTCATGCTACAGAATGACACCCACGTGAACAACTCCATCCACATAAAACCTGAGAGAGCATGGGAAGTAATTCTGGGCAGAAAAGAATAAAGCATGGCTTATTGATAGCAGCACTTTCTCAGGTGGGCTCTGCTTGCTAGAGGCAAGCACTCTCATTTAAGAGAGGCTTCCTGACTCAGCTTTATCTGCAAAACCCTGCAGCTCTTTAAGAGATCCAGGTAGATTAAAGACCCATCCATTGCCCTAGGAACAGCATTGGGGTAGCAAGGATTGTTGCCACTTGGTAGATAAAGTACATGTGACTCACTTGATAGCCCTTTCTGTTGGTCTCTGTCAGCCTCATTAAACACTAGGACACCTGCATTTAACAGGCTCCAGTTGAATATATTTATGAGGGGGTGGGGAGCATGCAGGGTTCTTGAAAGGATCTAATGTTAATATGGTGCTCCCCAAACTCCCAGGATGCCTGTAGAAAGAGGATCTAAGTTTCCCTTAGGGATTCCTGGGAGTTGAAGAAAGCAAAAGGAGAAAGTGGCACGGGAGGAAGAGGAACATGAAACAGAAAAATAGAAGAACAGAAATAAACCGAGAGAGAAAACTTTGCAAGCTTCCATTGTTCCCTTTCTCTGCCAGAGAGTCTGGAATGTTAAACAGCTGCAAATTGAGCGGCTGACGGGTAATGGATTTGGTCTCCACCACTAGGGGTCAGAACCCCATGACATGTAAATAATACCTACACACTTGAAACAAGGAACAGATGAAGTCCCTGGGAAAGATAGGTCTCGGCTTTCTTATTTTATAGAAAAATGTAAATTGTAGCATTAAGACAAACAGTGAGAAAATTGTGCATGTAGGCACCCCCATGTGGGTGAGAGTCTCTAACCATGGGTGCTTATTTATCTCTGGCTTATCAACTCCAAAGAAAACTAATCATTGGGAGCATAGCTCCCACGTGGTTGAGCTCTTTCCTCGAATGCATGAGGCCCTGGGTTCCATTATCAGCAGCACGTGCAGAAACCAAGTATGGGGGTACATACTGGTAATCTCAGCTCCTAGGATGTAGAAGCTGCTGGATTAGAAGTTCAGCTAACTGCCAAGTTTAAGGCCAGCATGCTATATATGAGACCTTGTCTCAAAAAACTAAATCAATAAGTTAACCAGTCTTTATAAGACAGTGTATTCATTTTAAAATTTACGCTTTCTTATCTCCATCTTTCTTCCTTTCTTGATCTTTTGATGGGTATTTTTTTGTTGTTGTTCTTTTCAAATTTTTTTTAAATTAACACACAAGATATCAGACAGTGCCACTGCATGTTTCAACACACTGTGTTTTAGTAGCTTCTCCTTCCCCATCTTGCTTTGGTTATATGTAGTCTTTTGGGGCTCCATACACATTCTTGAATTATTTTTTCTGGTCTTTTATTTCCTTGATTACATTGATTCCTAGGTACTTTTCTTGTTGCTGTTTGGAGTGATTGATAATGTGGTATATTTTTAATTAACTTATTTGTCTGAGTTTGTTCTCAGTATACGTGAAGACAAATGGCTGATTTCTTCATACTTAAAACAGCTTTGGGATGGGAATATAGAATACTTGCCTAGCACGTTCAAGGCTCTGCAGTTGAGCCCCAGAAGTGAAAAAAGCAAACAAACAACCTTTATAAGTGAGGAAAGTGAATATTGTCAAGAGGATCAGAGAATATGTGAATTAAAAAAAAAATCCCAGTGCCTATCCAGTTAAATATATGATAAGGGCAATAATATCTCCTATAACACCCATCAATACATGAAGAACAAAGAAAGAATGTTTGTTGTTTTTTTTTTTTGTTGATAAGGGACCCACAACTTTGAGTGGAGTTTCCACATAACTAGGTGTTAAATGCATATTTAAGGCCTTGTGAGTATAATGCCATAAATAAGCCTGATTAGGCAGTGTCAAGTACAATAGAATCATTACAATAGAGAAAGTTAAAATGATTAGACAATAACAATGACCCATCCTTTTGTAGGAGAGAACATCAGGGCTTAGGGAAAACAGTGGTCTATGAAAATGACCAGCTGAAATAATAGATCAAAAGTAAGAGCCAGCAAAGGTCAGTAAGACATAGAAATAAACAATTACTAGAGGGTGAAAAGCTAAGTTAAAGGTGACTAGAAAACAGGGTTGGAATGACTGACAGAAGTCATTCAATGTTAGGGCTTTGTAGGCTGTGCAAAGGATTGCGGTCTCTGTCTCGGGTGCAATAAGAAACTATTAGACAATGCTAAATTACCCCTTTTAAATAGTTATAAATGGATGATGGGATCTAAAACAGTAGGTGTAGAAACAGACACTGATTGTCAGCTATATGGTAGACCTTGATAGCAATTCTGATGGTTTAGACTTTGAATGTGTGGAATGGGATATGGAGGGAGGAAGGAAACAAGAACCACACACAACGCTGAGACACTTGGCTTGAACACCAAAGTATGTGATGATTCAGTGACAGAAAGTGTGGGGGACTAGATGGAGCCATGTAGGTAACCTGAGAATTCTGCTTGCCCCACAGTATGCATATAGAACTGGCTCAACAAGTTCTAGGCAAGTGGCACTTTTCAGAGGCATCTGTATTTTGTAAGGGCAATGACCAGGTCCTTTTCATGTATGAGGATACGTGTGTGTGTCTGTGTGTCTGTGTGCTAATGTTCATATGGGTGTACATGCATGTGTGTGCACATGTTCATATGGGTATAAATGTGTGTGTATGCACACATGTTCATACAAGTGTGCACGTGTGTGTGCACATTCATTTGGGTGCGTGTGTGTGTGTGTGTGTGTGTGTGTATAGAGGCCTAAGGACAATTTAAAATGTAGTACTGTATGTGGAATATTCCTTTACACTGTGTGAATATATGTGACTGTGATTAAGTTAATAAAGGAGTTGACTCTTTTTTTCTGCCGCCTGACACCGCCGAGGTCGCACGCGTGAGGCCGGTCCACAGCAGCCAACATGAGCTACGTCGCCTCTTACTTGCTTGCCGCCCTTGGGGGCAACTCCTCTCCTAGCGCCAAAGACATTAAGAAGATACTAGACAGCGTGGGCATTGAGGCGGACGATGACTGGCTCAACAAGGTCATCAGTGAGCTGAATGGAAAAAACATTGAGGATGTCATCGCCCAGGGTGTTGGGAAACTTGCCAGTGTGCCTGCTGGCAGAGCTGTGGCTGTTTCTGCTGCCCCTGGCTCTGCAGCTCCTGCTGCTGGTTCTGCCCCAGCTGCAGCAGAGGAGAAGAAAGAAGAGAAGAAGGAGGAGTCGGAAGAGTTGGATGATGACATGGGATTTGGCTTGTTTGATTAAATCTGTGCTCCCCTGCAAATAAAACCTTTTGATGTATCTTGAAAAAAATAAAGAAGTTGACTGACAAATAACTGGACAGGTAGAGCCTAGGTGGGACTTTCAGACAAAAAGAGAGTATGAAGAAGAAGAGGAGGAGGAGTCAGAGGGAGGCAAGGAGAGAAGGAGATGAACTCGCCATACTAAGGAAAGGTACCAAGCCACCTGGCAGAGTGTAGATAAGAAATATGGGTAAATTTAAAATGTAAGAGTTAGCTAATAACAATCCTGAGCTATTGGTTGAGCATTTATAATTAATAATAAGTCTCAGGGTGGTTATTTGGGAGCTAGCTGGTGGGACAGAAAAATTCCTTCTAAAGCTATAGAAGTCATTTACTTTGTTTTTTGAAATAAGATCTCTTATTTCAAAAGGCCTGGGACTTGATAAGTTGATAAAATTAGCTGGCCAGGAAGCCCCAGGGATCTACCTGTCCCTGCCTCTCTAGAAGTCTGACTTACAAGAATGTGCCAACAAGCCCAGCTATTTTTTAATACAGCTTCTAGGAAGTGAACGCGGGTCCTTATGCTTATAAGGCAAGCACTTTAATAACTGAGTTATCTCCCTGGCCCAGACGGTTAATTTTAATATCAAAATAAATTTTTCTCCAATCAAAGTATTTGTCACACAAGCCTCTTTTGTCGGGTGGAGTCCAAAGGAGCCAACTTCTTGTGAGATAAGCCTCCAGAGGTTTGAAAGAATGAAACTGACATTCCCACACAGACTGAATGCTTAAAGTATGAGAACAGAAATAGGCAACCCCTCTCAAAGAGAAGCACATTGAGGATTGTGCTGTCAGAGTTCTCAAAGCCTCAGCGTGGAGGAACAGAGGCTCAGCTCAGGGCTGATTACAGAGTTTGTGATGACAGTCTGTGTCATGACCCACATGAGCAAACACGGGTGCCCTCAAGTGTTCCTCGTGCAGAAAGACTCTCAGGATTCCCTCACCACCTAACAGTTTCCTACGCAAGTAAGTCTCTCATGAAATTTTTATTCTCCCAACGAATCCATCTGATCCAGCCATTTTTTTGGACAGATGTCTTTTCATGATGGTGCTGGACATTGCAATCAAGTGACCGCATTGCACTGCCGGCTTTTCTGAAGTTTGTGGTGAGCTCCTGTCTAGCCGAGTTCCCACATCCTATACTTGTGCTGTAATTTCTTTGCTTAGATTAAAAATGTTGAGGTATTTGAAACTTGAGTCTTTTGAGCTGGACTATTAGTTATTTCTTCCACTTTGGTTGCAAACGTGGGTCTGATGAGTGTCTTTCTGTCTGTGTTCCATTTGTTGGCTAAAATGATACTTAAGTGACAGAAAACTTTAGTGTAATAAATTCAAGATTGAAAACTCGCTGCTTGCTTACCCTAGTCCAGATATTTCTCAAAGTCAGAGTTTTCTCATCTATAGGACAGAAATGACAGAGAAAAGTAATAAATTGCCTGTGAAACTTACAAAGTCGCGTTTACCTATCACTCAAAAACGTTAAAGAGCATCTTACTTTAAGATAATAAAGCCATTCTCGGACCTAACTGATGGACTGTGTGTGAACAAGTTCACAAAAACAAGTATCTACCAATAAAGGTTTTGCCATGGAAAGCAGGAATAAGTGATGCCCTTGACAGTTGTAATCACTAATTTGTTGGCCTCTTATTGTCTGAAATAAGGTGCTATATGAGTGTTTCCCATAATGCTTCACCAAGAAAGGAACCAAAGAGTCCACAGGAAGATGATCCTGGATGGAAGAAGGCTCTGGTGCACCTCTTCTCTACCTAATACCATGTCATATACTGAGTTGTCCCCTGCATGTAAGTCTGTCTTTCTGCCTTAATTTAGATTCCCCAGAAGCAAATCATGAGGCAAGGACATAAGTGTTTTGGAGGATGGTGATGTGAAATGCTGAGAGTCACCAGATACATTATTAATCTAGTGACAACTCAGGATCCCTGAAGCATAATTGTCCTGTGAAACTATTGGAGCCAGGGTAGAACATGTGCCTGGGAGTTATCCTATTCCTGTGGATTAGTTATATGCTTGTTGCCATCATTCTTTAACGAGAGCTGGTTGATTTGAGGCTGAGCCCCAAGCACTTTCAAAATGCCCCATATACCAAGTGAATGGAAGTCAAGTGTAGCTCAAAATCATGGTGAAGTGTGGAGATGGAGATTATGGACCAGACACAACAGAGTATATGACAGGTAGTGAAAAGTTTGTTCAAGAATAAAAGGAGAATGTGCAAGTGTATATATGGCTGGGTCTTTGTTCCCACAGAATCAGAATCTGTAGATTCAATCAATCCATTATGGTTATAAAAGATTACTTAAAAGTATCAGTGTTTTCAAAGTTAAGCCTTTGAAACAAGTAACTTTAACCAAAGCTATAGGTGGAGTTTGAGTATCAGTGCTGGACATGTGTGGATGTCACTATCCCTAATAGGACCCCTAGAGCAGTGCTTCTCAATCTTCTTCATGCATGACCCTTTAATACAGTTCCTTATGTTGTGATGACCCCAACCATAAAGTTACTTTTGTTGCTACTTCATAACTGTAATTTTGCAATAGTTATAAATCGTAATGTAAATGTCTTTGTTTTCCAGTGATTTTAGGAGACCCCTGTGAGAGTGGGGTTCGACTCTCACAAATGTGTCTCAACCCACAGGTTGAGATCCATTGCCCTAGAGGGCACAGTATAATCTCTATGGAAACAGACTCCGCTCTGTCTCTGGGACTGCAAGTATTCTAGAGAATATTTAGCACATACAGAAAGACATACATAGGTCGTATGCAAATGTTTTGTCCTTTTATATAAAACCCCCAAGGATCCAGAGTTTGGTGTCCATAAGGGATCTGGAATAAACTCCCCACAACTCCCGAGGGATGACTGAAGGCTGCAGGCATATACACATCCTACTGCTCTGCATCGCTAGAGAACCCTGACAAACTGCTTCAGGGTTAAGCAACACTGTAGCGTTTAACAACATTCTGTTCTTTATCAAAGACAGTTGCCCTGGGACAGCTTCCATGCCCTTTGTCATACAACATCCCTCTTTCCAGCAGTGGCTGGGACTAGCCTATATCACTGTAAGTATCTGAGCACTAACCCACTGAAGCTAGACCTAGGCAAGGTATCCTAAAAGCCATGCTGAGGAGCTTGATGCTTCCAGACACTGGAAAGTCAAAGATGCCTCTGGGAGGACGCCTCCACAGTGATGACTTCATGTCAAGGATGAAGGCACAAGAGGTTGACTGACATTTTCCAAACCACACCTCTTTGTCCCTGAGTTTGAAGGGGTAGCTGAAAAGCCGTGAAGGGGGCTGGTTTGGTTTGGTTTTCTTTCTTCCTTGTATTCACTTCGTTAGTCTGGTTTATAGTTTTTGAAAGAGACGCCCAATCAAAACAATGCTGTGCAAAGATCAAGTCTCCATAGATCACACGAGCAGACCTGCACTTCATTTAATCTCAATTATCCAGAGTCTCCAAGTGCCCAAGACTGAAGAAAGAGGTTGCTCTGTCAGCAAAGGTTGCGAGTTCAAGCAGGAGAAACTACAGTTCTGTCAAAAGGCTTAAATTTAAGACTTCAGCTTTACTTTGTTTCAAAGAAAGAGAGACATTGGAAGCTGAATGGAGTATTGTTGTTACCTCTTCCTCTTTAAATTCAAATATGTTCACTTCCCGAAGGTGACTTTCTTTTTTTAACAACTGCATACACTTCTGCATTTCTGTATAGTAAAACCAAGAACTAATTCCTAGTGCTCGCTTTCTCCCGCAGACTTCAACATTATAGTTTCTAGATAGAATATAAAGAGTCACCTGGGAGCTGGAGGTAGGGGTGGCTTGGTCTGTAAGGCTTGTATTGCAAACATGAGGATTGGAGTTTGTTCCCCAGAACCCATGTTTAAAAGAAACTCAAGTGTGGTGGTGCGCACATGTAATCCCAGTGCTGAGGAGACACAAGAATCCCTGATAGTTGCAGCCTAGTCCACTCAGTGGGCTCCAGGTGAATGAGAGACTGTCTCAAGAAACAAGATGAGTGTCTATGAGTCAGGTTAGTTGTTTCTGTGGTGTGTGTGTGTGTGTGTGTGTGTGTGTGTGTGTGATGTCCTTGACCTCTCTAGCTCATACAATCGTTCCTCCCTCTCTTCAGCAAGATTCCCTGAGCTTGGCTGTGGGTCTCTGCATTTGTTCATTTGTTTCCATGAGTTACTGGATGAAAGCTCTCTGAGGATAATTGAGGTAGTCACCAGTCTGAACACAGGAGATGGCCAGTTCACCCTGTGTATTCGCTATTGCTAGGACTATTAGCTGGTGTCATCCCTGTAAATTTGTAGGTGTTTCCCTTGCACCAGGTTTCAATCTGACCCCAAAATGCCCTCCCTTTCCAGTCATCTCCTTCAGCACTCCCTGCTTCTCATGCACCTGCAACTGATCCCTCCAGTTCCCATCCCCACCTGCCCCCAGTGCACTCAGAAAATCTCTTCTATTCCCCACTTAGGCCCTCCTTGTTACCCAGCCTCTCTGGGTCTGTGGATTATAGTGTAGTTATCCTTTACCTTGCAGCTAATATCCACTCACAGAATCTGAACCAATAACCAGAGGGACTACACAGGACCAATCTAGGCCTTCTACATATATGTGACCGTTGTGTAGCTTATTCTACTTGTGGACAACTAACAGTAGGAGCAGGGGCTGTCCTTAATGCTTTGGCTGGCCCTTGGAAACCTATTCCTCATACTGGGTTGCCTTGCACAGGTTTAATACAAGGGGAGATGCTTAGTCTTACTGCAACTTGATATGCATGCTTTGTTGATGCCCATGGGAAGCCTGACCCTTTCTGAACAGAAATGGAGAAGGGGTGGATTAGGGAGGCAGAAAGGAGGGGGAGGGGATAGGAGGAGACGAAGGAATGGAAACTATGGTCCGGATGCAAAATAAATAAATTTTAAATTTTTAAAAAAGCAAAATGGATAGG